GTGTTATTAAATGGGTGTTTGTCTATTAAGATCTCTAAAGTGAAAGATTTTGTGCCTGCAAGCGTAAAATTGCATCGCTTGACAGTAGGTGGAGAGAGGAACACATAATGATCCATGAAAGATGGGTTACCCAAATTAATAAATTCTTTTTTGAGTAACCAAACTGTTTTTTTCTATACAAGGACTATAGCCTTTGTATGCTCAATTAAACTCTGCGGCTTGGTCTTCAGACTGTGGTAACAGCCTCCACCGCTTCCATACATAATTAATGTTCTGTTTCCCATGTCATTAAGAAAAACTTGGGAGCCACGCAAATTCATACACACCCATACTATTCAAAGTTGCGGACATAAAGTCGCTACCTTAAACATGCTACAGGATGATGCCGAAAAAATTTTGCATTTCCTTAAAAATTGAGCTGCATTAACGCAATTTTAGAATCAAAAAAATTTCCTCCAACAGCTGGCTCAATCCTTCAACAATAAAGCACACTCAGTTTTAGCCCAAGAAATGCCTGTAGCACAAGGTTAAAAGACTATAAGTTGATTAAAAAATAGGTTTTATTTAAGCTATGTATTTTAGTTAATAAAATATATCAAAATATAAGTGCATGATCCCTTGATGTGATTGGCCGACTTCGTAACGAATACGATTTTAGTGAATTTAGTGCTATTTAAGCCTATGTTCCCACCGAGTTGGGTGGTTTCTTCCATGCCGCTGCAGTCTTCCTTATAGGATGGATTCTGCAGAGGGCTTTCTAGTACAACCTCTCGTACGATGTGTTGTATACTGCATTGTTTTCATCGCAGCCTTGTACTTATATGGAGGGGTCGATAGGTAGATTGCCATTCGTTTTCATCCTTGGTTCATTGGTTTTAATTTATTTGGACCAGGCGAATTATTTAATTGGTATGCACGAATGAATTCAACTGATCTGATTATTTGACTGATGACTTTGGCGTTAATTTTATTATTTTTGGGGCTTGGAGGTGTATTTTCGCCCCCTTGCACTGTTGTATTCCTGCTTTTTAGGAATACCTCGAAGAGTGTGCGTCAGCGAATAGTTTCCGGATCGGTGGCTTGTGGACTTATTCTTACAGATACACTAGCCTTCACGCGGCTTCCTAATACGAGCCCTGTAAGTTCTTTCTTGACTTCTCGTTTCACGTATATTCCTCCAGTATCACGTATGTGTGCTCATCACGACTTCCCTCTTTCTTTTCCTGATGCTTGCTATTTATGGACTTTCGTTATAGTCCGGATTTGCCAAATGAGTTTTGTTTGGACTTCAAATCCCGCCTTGAATTAAGGCGTCTAGATCCTAATAGAATGCTTTTATCGTCATTTCAGGGAATTAGTACTAGATTGCGAAAGCTGAATTTTGTAAATGGTGACTGACGAGGAAAGTCCGTGCTAGCAGTGGTTGATAGGAGTGGTTTCAGATCCGCTCTTGTGTAGCAAATAACCTGTCCTTTAGTTCACTGATCTCTTTACGGATTAGCATTCTAACTTACTGATTATCAATCGGCCTAATGATTGCTCTATCAACCTTAGCATTGATCTGTGCTGCCATATACTCATCAGAGGGCTGAGTGCGATATTTCCTTACCCATTCACCAGTCTTTTTTAGCCGACCAGTGGCACTTGTAGATTCATATTGGTTATAGAAAATATAAAGACATTTTAATGGTGTTTTTGGACATGTTAGAATGGTTGCCCTATTCATAAGTCCCTTTTCCCTAGAAATAAATCAATTCATCCATTTTTCTAAATTTCACACTTCTTCCATTTTTTTATCGCCTCACTTATGTTTCATTCGACACTACGCGCCCTAAGTAACGCATTCGTATATTTTGCTGCATGCCAATCCTGGAGCCATCCATCTATCTCGCACCTATCTATTCATACTTCTTTCCATCCCGTATCCATCCATCTATTTATTTGTTGCAGATCCACTCATCATCACAGAATCATTCATCCATCCATAACTGTTATCAATTTGTCCATCTATCAATACACACTCTTCGGATCCCACCCGATCATATACACGTTCATCATTTGATCCATGAAATCTAGTTTTCCTTCTACCTTTCTATAAATCGTTTTCTATGTTCCACCAAATCGTCCCTTTCTATCTAGTGGCGTCTCGACTCCTATGACCTTTCACGCATTTTCCTCCGCCACCAACACCTTGTACTCGCTCTTCTCCTGCCAACTCTGTCAACCGGAGTAAGTTGATCTGCTCCCTTGATCCCTAGTCTAGCACTTGATTATGCTTGTCTAACTGCTCCCCTCTCGACCCCACCCGCAGCTCCTGTTTCTGGGCCCTTTCTGGCACGAATGGCGTGCAAGGCGGTTCTACACTCTGCAAGGTACTCTCAGATTGCGTCTGCTTGCTTCTATTCAGATATTACTGTTACTTTGGACCTTTACATTTTCCAATCAGTATATTTATCAATCCTCGTCTCATGTTTTTCCTCCCAATATTATGCACAAAACGTGATCTTAAGAAGCATGCTCGTGATCATTGATGGAAACCCAGGACAGTGTTGCTTCCAAACCTCTCTTTTCTGTCATTAATTTCTCGGTTGCTCATTAAGATAGCCAATTAACTTACGTGTTTACTATGTCTTGTCTAAAGCCATATGCAGTTACGCTAACGGCCTTTGTCGGACGAGCCAAGATTGATCATGTCAATGGGTGTGCAATGTCCGGCTCACTTGACACTCGCTACGTGTGTGACATTCTTCTGTTTTCTTACCGCACCTCGGTGTCACCTGCATTTGCATGCATTCGTCACTGGTTCGTTGTAACTGTGGTTACACTACACCGTATCATGTGGTTCTTATCAGATGAGTCGCTTTTCTCGGTGTCTCGAGCAATAGTTTAACGGCGTGGTGATCAAGACAGTTATTCATAATCATTCCTACCTCCTAAACCTTGTTGTAGTTCGCTGACATGGTCTTTCAAATTGTCTTCCTAAAAGGGAATACTCTTGCATTCAGGGAAATAATTTGTTTTGAATCAGTGATAACCTCGAGTTTAATATGGCTTTGCTCCAGAGCTAGATTGGAATATGAAAGGAATAGTGATTGACTGGAAGTTAGTGTAGAGTCCTTAGACTTCTTTGGAGGCCAAAGGAAGCATTCCACCCGGGTAGATTGTTTAGTCGGCCTACCGAGGGACTGAGGGCACTACCAGCATGGCCCGGAGGCCACGCTGCATGGCGGAGGTGCGATGACGGAACCCCTAAGTGGTCCGTTACCAAAACAGAGTTAACCGAGCAATTAAAGTGCTATTGCTCGACACTCGCATCATCTTTTTTGTTTTCGGCTATTCTCTTTACCTTTTATAATCTATCACATCGTTAGGTACAAAATGCCCGATCGGATTTGCTGGGTAGGCCATATCATCACCTTTGATTCTGGTTTCTTACCTTATCCGGACTTGAAGTTTTTTTGTGTTGTTTATCGCATAATTATTGTATTTAAAAAACGTTTTGAACGCATGAGGCAGCTCGAAACAGTCGCATGGTCTCCCGTTTGAGCCGCTTTCTGCTAGCAGCCCTTTACCCCACTGAGTACCCGTTGTTAAGGTCTTGGACATAGCCGAATTGGTTCATGTGGCTTTTTTCAATGACAAGTAACTTCAGAAAACTTCTTAAAGTGCTTTGTTGGCTGTCGTGGTTTGCAACTAAGATCCCCAATGAGACACAGGTTAGCCACTAACTCCACTCCCACGACACGTTTAGTCTCTAGCGTCTATGGCGCCACTTCTCTTTCTCAACCGTCTATTCCACCTCGATAGTGCTTGTCTAATGTGAAAAGACGACAATCATCGGGCAACACAGAATCATTTTAATACTCTCTCAAAGCTAGACTATGCACGGGAGCTATGGTACACCTCCAATCTCATCCGCCTACGCAACATTGTGATTGCGCCTCTGGTTGAAGAAATAATCTTTCGTGGCTGCATCCTTTTCCACCTCCAGCGGCGGTTCGACTCCTGTGGTGCTCTTTGTCTCGGCTCTAGTCTCCTCTTTGCCGTTTGTGGGTTTTTGTTTGTACTTTTTTTCGTCCTTTTTTGGTTGAATTTGCCTTTGAACAACTTGTCGTTGCCTACTGATGGTCTGTAAGTAGCACCCACCTCCTTTCAGCGCATTTTCATCACGTGGTAGAGAGGATTTACGCTGGCTATGCGGTGCGCGAAGCTCTTTTGGACGTCTGTGAGTACTTACACTATTTTTTTTGTTCATTGCTATTGAAAGTTGCACCACCCAAACATGTGTCTTTGGTGTTTCTTCAAGTGTCCCAGGTCCTAATGACGGCAATGTTCGGTGCCTACTCGACGCTGCTTGTTCTGCGAAGCGGTGAGTTATGCAGCTTTGCTCCCTTCCATGTGGAAATTTGGCCTTCTTTTCTCCGCGATAAACGTGTGCTTTTGAGCTCTTTATCACCAAGGTCCTTCTGTAGGCCTGAAAACACTGATAGTTAGCCTAACAGAATAGCTGCAACTACATTGCCTAAGATTAATATCAATTACTGGCTTTTTTCTCCTTCCAGGTCACTTAGCAGCAGCCTTTGCGGTGCACTCGTTGTGCAACCTCATGGGTATGCCCGACATTGCGGGCGAGATGAGGGTGGCGGAGATTCATGATCCCCGATGGGGTAGATGTGTGTACAAAGCCCTTCTCCTGGTCGGTTTCATCAGTTGGCTCGTTCTCATTGGGCCGGCGTCAACTCTCTTCGGCCTTTCTGACTCGACCCTCTGTCGCCTGCCCTAACTTCAGTCTTTAACTGTGTCTGCTGTACTTAATGCTTTTCTAGTGATATGACTATTCTTAATCTGGTATGGTTGTCTTCTTGGCTTCAAGATGTGCTCACTGCTTTGTATGAGGTAAGCTTTTTGTCAGCGCGTGTTCTCGAACAGGTGTGGGATTGCTATGTGGGTTGTCTACTTAAAAATTCGTAAGTAGTGCTCGTTGGTCTTGTCGCAGTTTGACTTGACCCACATCCTTTCCCTTTAGATGCCAGTCCAGCCGACCTACAAATCGGTTTCGGTAAGTCTGTCTTCGAGTAGACTCGAGACAGAAAATCACCCTTTCACTTCCACTTCCGATGGCTAGCGTCTCCGGTCTTCCTCTCATAGATCCAACTGCGGGCGTACTTGAACGCTAACAGCTCTGCAGCAGCGGAGAAAGCCTTCACAGACCTTCTCAACAATGCTAAGTTTATCGATTTTGCCGCGCATCTACTCCGGTGCCTGCAGGCTGCAATTCTCAAGGCGAGCTTCGACGAAATCGATGTTGGTGCAGTTCATTTGGCTAAAGATTGCCGGAACAGGTACACATGTGATTACACGCTGTCTTTCGTGCCCTTTTCCTGTAGGTCCAAGCGTTCTTCAATCGTGTTCTCCGACTTTTGCAATGCCTTCTCCCAACTAAGATGGCGGTCGAGTTCATGGGCGAGAAACCACCAGGTAAGGCTGAGGACTCCGGGTGATAGTACGTCCATGGAAAGCCAGATGCCTACATTGCGTGGCGCTGTTGGTTTTCTCATTCACCAATACTATTAATGCGGTTTTCTTTCATCCGCATTCTTCCTTCCTCTAGCGAAATCGGAACAGGCCAAACGCATGCGGATGCCCACTCTGCGACACACCCTAACCGATACCTGGGCCAAATTGCTCGAGAAGGGGGTGGGTTTTCGTTCTCCTTTGGCCGTCTTCTTGCATCACTTTCCACTGTACCTCCCCTCCCCCCAGTCACTTCTAATTCGGTCCTATTTCCCCTTAACCCGCAAATCAGTCGTAAGGTCTACTTCGTGTTTTTTAGCTCCCAGACGACCTGCTGTTGGAGGCGCTGATCGCTCTGGGTGACGGCCAAATTGAAAAGATGACGGACACTGCGCGTCTGCTCGCACCCTACATCACCACCATCTTTGACCCACCCGCCAGCATGGCAACAGCCGCCGCGCCTCTCGCCTCCTGGTCTCGGGCAGTTTCGCGCACCCTCCTCAAGATCATTCACCTGGGTGGGCTCAACTTTGACCGTCTCTACCCACGTCTCTACGCCCTCTTGGGTGAAGACCTACTGACCTGCCGCTATGCGGAACGATTTATAGAGGATTTGGACGTCTACTTGAGCTCCATGTAGGTCAGGTTGATTTAAGCAGGTCCAGGTATTTGGATGAGGAAAACTAGATAAGAGATTGTGCACAATCTGGTCACCTTTAGTTTCATTCAGTAAAGACTACGTAAGTTCTTTCCAAAACGGGGATCATATAGGAAAATTGAGTCGTGAAACGCATGTAACGCTGATGATCATTGCGGTGACCTTTGTTATGGTCCCTTCTACATTTCAGTCACGTGCCGGCAGGCTGGCTCTCCGCCTTCGCGAAGCGTCTGGTTCAGCTCACTCTGGTGGGAGTGGCACCGTTGGCTCTGATGCTGCCTCTCCTCACTGTTGCCGCTAACTGCCTCATTCGTCATCCCACTTGTCGGGCTCTTGTCGACCGACGTGCCAACCAAAGTGCCCCTGTAGGTCGTGGCATTCTACTCGTGTCGTTAAAAGTAGTTGGTTCTTTTCAATTTCAATAGTGTTCTAATTAGTGCTTCCTGGAATCATTTTTCAAAAAGTTCCTTTTAAGTGATATTCTTAAATGCTCAAAATGAGGCTTTTGCGGGAAGCCCGCCATTGAGAACCCTCATTTTTCCCTACTAGACGACTAAAATGGAGACGACAATAGGCGATCCCTACACGTACCGATCTAACGATTTGGCCAGTGATGGCGTTGGGGCTCTAGAAAGCAGTCTGTGGGAAGTGTTGTGTCTCGAGTGCCACTATCATCCCGAGGTGTCATCGCTGGCGCGCCGAATTCGTCAAATCGGTGCAATAACCACGGGTGTTGCCGACCATCTGCCCGAAGTGAAAAACCAAATTCGCTCCGGCAATGAGGTGAGTTGGTGGAAGAGATCGGCAATATTATTAACCCATTTTTATGTTCGTATTCTAGCTACAAGCCGTGGTGGATCGAACATCGCGACAGTACCTGTCGGTGCTTGAGATGACAAACGCACGACTGCCCACTTTGTCACCTTTGGAGGGATGGACGATGCAAAATGACCTCTCTGAGGTCACGCCATAACAGATCCTCCTCTTCCCCGTGTAACTCTATGTACTATAAAGGTCTGTACAATTGTCCACTGTCCGTAACTGGCTGAGTTCGCGTTAAGAACTGGATGTAAGTGATCAGGATCGTTTGAAAGTAGATTGCTTGGTTTCAATTGCTTAAGCTGGAACCTATCGGAATTTGAAGGTGGTGTCAAGGGATGCCTTTCGGCGAGGCAAATGCCCTTTGAACTCCGGTTGTCTCAATCAAGTGGTGGCTGAGGGCGAGTTCTGCAGGTTACCATTTCCTAAGAAAAACAAACATCAATCTATAATAGTTTACGGGAGGGGTGCAATGGTTTAAGGTTGTCGCTAGGTAGCTGAGGTTACCGCTTGCTCGAAAAGGCTGTTTGTCTACTTCGACGTGCTGCCGATTTTTGGCATTCACTGGGCCTCGGTAAAGTGGTGGACAACGGGTGAGATGCAATGAGGGCATTCTCTAGTGATGGTACTATGGGGGTTCAGTGATCAGTGTTAGGCTTCAGAGTGCACTTCCATCTCTGGAGCAGATGATGCCTATTCTGTAACGAGACTCGGATTATAGTCTGGCTCTTACAGAGCCGTAGAGAAAGACTCGCTGCTATGCGTCAGAATGTCAGTAAAACACTGCATCATCATATCCTATTTTGGTTAACTGCTCAATGCTTGTCGTATGATACGAGCTCTTCAGTCCCCATGTAATGCATTTCCACTCCAGGCCCTATCTCTTGGTGTGTAGAGTACAAACATCCTATTAAGGCCTTTTAGTTTATTATGGCTTCTGAGGAATCTTCAAACACCGGCAGTATCTACTGCCGCTACAGGCTTACACAAAATAATTACCCATTCACCTATTCGAGCATCAGTTGTTAAGAGCCACTACTCAAGTTTCTGTGTACTTTTAATCCTGTTGAATTGAAAGAAATTAAAAGCTTGTTGATTGCCTTTAAATGCTTGGATTTTACTGTCCTAAATTTTTAGGTTCCTAACTATAAACTATTAATTTAATCCATATTTTTTTGTTGCCACTGGAGAGTACCAATCTGAATTTTAGAAAGACTTCTAAAATATCTTTTGGCAGATCCGCATAAAATTTAAGAGTAGCTTTCCCAAAAAAAGTGTGAGGGCCATTTGTTTGAGTCGGTGCAGCTTTCAGTTCCCGCCCTAAATAGTGTCTCCCGCAGTCTTTAATGAGATATGTATCCGAATCAGGGTATAATGTTCGGTGATTTTTCTTTGGAGCCGCAAGGCTTCAGGGACATGAATAGGCACGAGAAAAGCCTGGGTCTCCTTACTGAGAAGTTTGTTCAACTTCTTAAGGAGGCACCAGATGGTATTTTGGACTTAAAATTAGTAGGTTTAAAATATGCGGTTCCTACTCTTAGGCTGCTGACTTTCTTGCTGTTCGGCAGAAAAGGCGTATTTACGATATTACCAATGTTTTGGAAGGTATTGGCCTCATTGAAAAGCGCACAAAGAACAGCATTCAATGGAAGTATGTGCCATGTATGTGTGTACTTATCCAATTTCATGCTGACACCCTTATTTGAATCACCTTTTCGTCCTTTTCAAGGGGTGGGAGCGCAGCTACCAACGGGCCTGATATTCAAGCTCGTTTGGATGAGCTGCAAGCAGAGGTTGAGTACTTAGAGAACCTCGAGAAAAAGGTTGACGAACACCGAATTAAGGTCCTGCAGTCGATCCGCAACGTCCAGGAGGACCTCGACAACGAGCGTTTCAGCTATATAACCTATCAAGATCTCCTTAATGTCTTCCACGACCGTACTCTGGTAGTAATTCGCGCCCCGGAAGGCACCCTACTTGACGCGCCCATTCCCGAAAGTGGCATGGACCAGTCCACCCATTCCCTCTTCGCAATGAAACGATCCTACAAAACAACTCCCGAGTATCAAATTCACTTAAGGAGTCCATCTACGGCCATCGAAGCGCTATTAGTGAATCAGGAGGACAGCCAAGGTAGGACTTGGATTCTGCCCCCCGGACAGACAAACTTTGATTCGCGAAGAACGGCCACCAGTCGACAAGGTAAGCTTCCTAGGAGGCTCGGAGCTTCTCATTCACTTCCTAATCTCTAGAAGATGCCAGTGTTCTGAATCCCCTATTCCCGCTCAGTCCACCGCCAGATGCCCAAGACTTCACTTGCAATCTAGAGGAGAGCGAGACAATTTTCGACCTCTTCGACGTACCACACTCGTAAATCCCCTTTTTTGTACAAATGCGAATAAGCCTAGGGATGAGGTAATGTGTATTAATAAACGATGCATATGAACTTCGGAGGGGGGAGCGTCTTAGTAAGTAACTGGGGGTTGCTGAGTTGGGAGAATGTTGAACCGCATCTTCAGCATGACGCGCTGTTCGGAGTACTTGTCGTCGGGGGAGTAGCGAGCTGGATGCGCGGACTGGGTCGGCTTTCCATCAGGATCGACAAACTGCAAGGCAGTGTTAAAGACATGCCCTTAGATTCCGGCAATGCCAGTACCTAGGGTGGTAGATTGTGTCCACCGCTCTAAAGACTTGCATCAGGTTAAATTTGGGCAGTGTCAGTTTAGACAGTTAGTAAGGACTGTCTGTGATTCGTCCGTAATCCCCCGGACGAAGCCTAGATGTTGAGGATGATAGAGCAAGACAGCCCAGATATACCTTTGCTGAGGGATCGTGATGATGAGAGTTAGCGCAGAACGCGGTCAAGAGGCGATCAAGTATCGATGGGGGGTGCTAAGTCGATTGATTGCAAAAAACAGCAGGACGGGGTTACTTGTCTCTCAAACCAGTTTTTGAACGTTAGTAAATCCACTGCAGCAAGCTGACGAGCTAGAATTCATTGCTGAGGGCCAAGTCCTCATATACTGACAAAGAATCAGGAGTAAATGGCGTCGATTGGGCCAAGATCCGACTAGTCGGGCCCAACTCGGTCGAGGTTAGTTAATGTGTAATATGGATACGTTAACCCTCTGGAAATACTACTACGTTTACCGGGCGGGATGTCTTAGATTACAAAATGCTTTTAAGGTGTGACAGAAGTTTACGATCGCGATGTTCTTGCAGGATGTAGGTCAAGCTCTAAGTAACCGCATGAAAATGCAAACAAGCCATTAAGTGCCTAGGAACGATGCCGTTTAAAGAAAGCAAATCACGCTAAACAACATCATAAATGAAACTTAGTAAAATCAGTCAAACTCCGTAAACATCTTACCCAAAAACTGACCACGTAAAGTCCAATGAATATAAAACAAAAACTTAAGTGGCGTTCGACAGAGAGGATAAAAAATGAAGATGAAGCACACTAAAACACTATTACTAAAGTGCGAAAATTTCAGGATTTAAGGTAACAGGTCAAATACCTAGACATATGAAATTCAAGCAACAATGAGCTTTAAATATGTGGTTTCTGGCGTTGGGAAACTACGTTTGCACACAAACTCGGCACGAACCTTCATTGTGTACACGCGACGGCCGTCAGCATCGAGGTAATACCGAAGGTGCATCTCAGAAACGTAAGAATCACAACTCGAGTTTCGGAATCTGAGTAACTCTCATCGACAATTTAAACACAAGTTTCGAGTAAATTATGCCCACTTAAATCTTTTTTACTATGAAATCAGGCACTATTAAAGTATTTAAGGCTAAATCTTATTTTTTTTAATGAGAGAATCTTTGTAAATTTTTTGTGGGTACATCCGTGAAGGGCATATACAGTTTCACGAGGCTTAATAATCGTGTGTAGTTCAGCACATTTGACTTGTTCCTTCAACTAAGCACTCTTCTACAGTTGGTTTGTAGCCACTACTCTGTATTGCAGTTTCAGTCAAATTGTGGGAACTCACTCCGAAATGGCTTAGACGCTATCCTGTACCATGAAAATGTTTGGGATATGTCCAGAACTAGCTTTTGGGTTAAATTACTATGATACTGTTAAATTTTGTTGTGGAACTTTTAGGCCTTTTCGATAAATAACCTCTTTAAAAAGCATTTTCACAGAGGTGGATGGTTTGAAATCCTGAAATTGGAGGTACAGATAGAGGTAGGCATGCACAAGAGGGAAACTAGCGAGAACATTAAGGCAGTATAACAGAGGTCGCAGCTAAATGAATACTATGGTGAGAACTAGGCGTTAGATGCAAAAGATAGAAGATATCCGTCTATCGTGTGAATCATTCCAAAGTTCATTTATCTCTTCAGTCATCCAGCACTTTATGGCCCTAATTGTTCACTTATTCTTTTATTTTTTTATTCTTACTCCTTTACCTATTATCTAAGAAAATGCCTTTCAGATAATTTAACTATAAATCCGTTCATTCAAACAGTCTCTTTGCTACCGAAAATCATTCAAGCTTACATGCATTCATTGGTTTTTACACCCAGCTAATTAAAGTCAGTCAAGAAAGCACAGAAGCAAACATCCATCAAGAATGGAAGAGTGGCTAAGCAAGGAGAGAGGTCCTCGCCACATCTCCGCTAGATTGACTCCTGATTATATGTTCGAGACTCGACAAGACCAAATGCAGTCTCATCCTCGAGATGCCAGACGCGACGGCGATCAAAGTGCCAAAGGGCGAGTAAGGAGAGAATTGCAATAAAGCAGCACAGAGCGGGTAGGAACATCCCGTAGGTAACGCTGGAAGGCCGATGATACTTATACATCAGCGCCTCATTCCCATGCACCGCGAAGGCTACGAAACAGCGAAACACGGGTTGCCTGATGAGACGCCAGCGAAAAACATGGATGGCGAAGGTGTTCTCCTCCAACTGCTTCTGACAGGAATGCGTCACACACTGAAGCATCCAAGAAACCAACCACTGTAGTCCTCTCTTTTCTAAAGAGGAACTTTTAGTTGCACTCTTTAGTCAAATGAAGAAAAGTAAGGTGGAAGATTTGGAGTTTTCTGCCCAGAGATTTCGAATTTTCTCGCTGGTTTGCTATGTGACTACCCAACATATTCCTGCACCTGGAAAGCTGTTTTCAAGCTATTATCGTAAGTCATCTTAAAAATGAGTGGGGAAATGGAGCTCGTCAGTCCTTTTCAGAAGTTTTTGAAAGCATCAGGTGTAGAGTTTCGGTAGAATGTTTTTTTTGGGAAGAACGTTCCTTCCTTTGTGGGTGCCATTTCAAGTCCCTGATTTGGTAAGTATTTTGTCCAAATCTATTAAGATACCACTTTCGCCTCATTCACTTTATTCAGCTGTCATTACCAGCGTTGATCTCATATGTCAACGATAACTTTAGCCAACCCACCTTGACTAATAAAGGAGTTGATGCATTATGTAAGGCTGATCGTATTGAAGACTTGATGAACTTGATATTAGTCACACCTTTAACCGCCTTAAAGTCGACTTTTTTGGAATAAACCTGGAATGAATGGGACAATAGTCCCGTAAATCAGATAGGAAGGTACGAACAAACATTTAAGTAGTCCATTCAGTAACTTTTGCACTTTCTTATGCTCAAGTGTCATGGTGATTAATTTTGCTATTGAAAAAGTTGAGTAGAGGAGCGAGCGTGCAGGAGAAATTATCAACAACCTTGAAAAAAATATCCTAAAGGCCTATCTCAGTGATTAGCTTGCAATTTTATATTTTTTAAAAATGGTTTAAGTTTTGTAGCCTCAAATATCTAGTATACCACGTAATTATGATCCTTGGATTGGCAAACATGGAAATATGCACCTTCTAATTTTCTTCTGCACAGGCAAATATCTCTAAGAAATCAATATGCACATAAATGACTTCCCCTTAATTATAAAAAGAGTAAAGCTCTATGAAAATGAATGGGAAACATCTAGATTAGTTTTCACGATTTTAAGAGTTTACAGTAGGTCTGTGAAAAGGTGCTGGTCTTTTCAGGTACAATGCAGGCTTTGGGTAGGTAGCAAATTGCATTAGACTTACCAGCCAGATGCAGATTCATTATGTGCTCCAACGGGAAGATTTGTGGTCTTTTTACTCAAAGCGAAGTTTTTTGTTTAATCTTTTTAAATAACGCAAAGCAAGGATAATTTAAAGACATAAGAATTCAAAACAGTCAGACTGTGCAGTCAAGTACAAAAAAATTTAGATGAAAGACAACTTTGACCGAAAAACTCATGAATTTAATGTCCTTCAATCCGCAGTTAATCGTTTCTGGGATCTTAGGAAATTGTTTTTTAAACATTTACAGTCTTTGTTAAAATCTTACGGGTTTATACAAATTAACTAAGTTTCCCCGACCTTCAGTTGCTTAGAAGCATTTCAAAACATCTTAAATATGGAGCAGTGGTAAAATATCTAATTATGCAGCACAAGCTTTTTTAAACATTTTTTGATACCTCTGATTCCAGGTATGTGGCAAATACGCTCACAACGCTACGGTTTTGAATCAGAAAAGCATTGAATTAACAGACGTATGTGCTGCTGCTAGATGTGTCTACTAACTCTGCATTGCATTTTTGCTTACCTTACTGAGCATGGGATATTCCTTTTCATCACCGCTTAACCACACTACAGGTTAATTGAAAACCATCTTTCTCTTTATAGTTTAGGGCCTCCTTTATTCACATTTCACGAAGAAGAGCAACTTAATCGGGGTTCGCTCAGCTCTTTAGCTTTCTTGAACTCGCCTAGTCGTTTTGAAGTGTCAAACAACTGTAAAATAGTGAAGTACGTCAGGCGTTATCGGTTTCTGGCGCAATTTGCGAAATGGCCACCTTTAATGGAACTACTAATCTGGTCCCATTAATCTAAACTTTGGCTTTCCAGCTGCACCTCCCATTTACATAATCATATTCACCAATTTTTCCCCTGTAAGTAGCATCAGTGTGGATCATCCACATGACTGGCTCCTTTTGGCATTAAACCCGCCTGCCAGGACAGGATTCTGCTAGCCACGTTCTTCACGCTGGTAATTTAAGGTGTTCCATTTAACGCCCAAACAGAACCGGCTTAGAAGAAAAGGACTTCAAGTTGTCGTGAGGCTGTAGAAATTATTAAAGTAATTGCAAGGAAAATTGGGTGCTCTAAACTGCATGGCAGCTAGTTGGCAGAAGGCAACCTGAATCCTGTGACAGAGATACTGCTCATTCACTCATTAGTAAAGGCAAGATTCCTAAGGCTAGTTGATCAACAGCAGGGGCAAATCTTAGCTTCGCATTATCTTTCTACTTGATCAGGGCACAACTAATATAGACACTCCAGTTTCGTAATTCTTCAGAAGTTCTATGTTAGTTTTGAGCTGGTAAAATTAGAGCTTCGAACGGTTCTTGATTAAAGAAACGCAAACGGCGCCTCTCTGATTATGATACAGCTAATGTATGCTCCTGACCTAGTCTCGAACCTAAGGTACCGTTTTAGTTAGACCAGCTCTTAAAAAGGCAAATTTTGTGTCAAATACGTAGGTGGTTAGCAGTGACAGTATACAGGCCTATGGTTGGAACACTGCTTGTGTTACCAACTAGAAAATGCTGGACATAACAGACATCAATGAGAAGAAATCTCACCCCATACGTGCGATAATGCTCATGCGTTTCAATTGTGTCAAATAGAGTGGCCGAAAAGTTGATATTATTGCGTTGAAATATGACTGACACTCGCAGACAGGGAAAGAAGGATCGCTCTCGGGAGCACCGATTCTCACACTTGAGGATGGGAGTGTAAGGCTCAATCTTGGCTAAATGGCATAAGCTCTCCTCAAAGCCGTGTTCATGGAGGTAGGGCACCACCACAAGGTAGAAAATGATGATACCGGTGAGGAGAGAGCAAGTGAGCAGGGTGGCGCAAAATATGTACGCCGCACGGCGAAAGGTGGAGTTACCATGGGCTCGGATCAGACGGCGAATGGGGAGCGCCATAAACCTAAAGTGTAGTTCTTAAGTCCTAGATGGGACATTCCAACGAAGTAATTACTTCCGGCTAGGAGGGGAAGGGAAGCGGAGGCAAGGAGCGGAGTAGCCGTGCTGTTATCGATTTTACTCGCTACCGGTGATAAGCCTGGAAATCATTTGTGGTTGTGATCTTAACTACGCATTTACTCCTTTGCTTGTGGAAAAAAAAATAGGGAAATAAGGCTTAGGATTCTCTCCATTACCTCCAGCGGTCATGCAATTTATCTCAATCCCTCCCTGATAAAATGAAAGGTGCTGACGAAGGTCCAATTTTAAATTTACACTGAATTTTATCGTGGCTTATGAAAAATTCCTGTAATAGAGGTGTATCGTCTATCCGCATTGTTTACCTCATCGTCTCCCTTTTAACATTAAAAGCGATCACTCATCGCCCTTTTCAAACAAGAGCGAAAGACTCGCAACCAACTCCACTATCATGTACCTCTGTCTTCAGTACCCGAAAAAAAGCCTAGCCCTTATCACTTCAGCTTTTTATCTCAACCTTACTTTCTAGCTGTCTCATTTACTATTTAGTTTCAAGGGGCGGTAGAAAGCAGAATTTGAAGAAGCAGCACCAGAAGAATGTGGGAGAAGAGTGATCGATGTCCGTTGTCACATGTTTGCATACTTTTTTCCTTTCTGTTGCCTCCGTTTTGAGTTGCTGGAAGGCACTAATATCGTCACAACTTCTGCTTTGTTCGAGTAGCTTGTTCCATGAAGCAGTATCATTACGGACTGCTTACTGCCCGGTGCCGCTGTGCGATTAAGTCGGTGAGGCTGAGTCACCGCTCCCTCCGCGAGGTCCAGTCTCTACTCCTCTCCATTGTCCGTCACATCTCTACCCTAGAAGACAGGGAAAATGAGGATAGAAAAGCATTTCCTCCCCTCCGTCTCATCCTCAAGTGCAGTTCGGGACCATTTAGGGGTTGATTAGTTTACGAGCGTTACGGCTATTTTGGGAAAAGACGTGAAACATGGGAGGTCATAAAATTCTAGCGTCATCACATTATCTCTCTCCTTTTTAACCACCGATATCATTGTCTCCATGTAAGAATGTATTCCAATAGTGGGAGAAACCATTGAATCAGATGAGGTTCTTCATTAAGATAGAAGGGGGACAAAATAGGAATAGCCTTCTCTTCACGTCTTCTTAGATCACCACGCTACGCGGAAGGATCTGCTGCGAGGACGTGGTGCCCGATTACTTTTACTGTCGTCAGGCCCTCTTAGATTCCGGGGCACCACCCATCCACAAACCACACGAAATTTAGCGCTAGCATCCCATGTGAGATGGGGATCAAGAGAGGTGGAAAATGACTCCAGCCTATAAGAGTGTCGAACCTCCTTTCAGACACCTACCTGTTGGAGCAGTGCCGACCTTGGACACAAACCAAATTGAAACCCAAACTAGACACTGACAGTGTTGTCAAAAGTAAAGGTCCGCTCGTCATTCCTCTTTCATAGTTATGTCCTCTTCTGCGAATAATCCTAACTCTCCTCATTATTAAGTATTTTCCTTCCAAATGACTGTCTTTCGGAATTTCTTAAACCTGGCGTAGATTGGCAGTTGTTGACCCGTCAGCAATTCACCTTAGACAATTGCCTGTTCCATGGGCTGCAACGTAACAGTCATTGTTTCTTGCTTCACGCATTCTCTTCTACTGTTATGGATCCTCAAGGCGACGGCGGTCTTATTTTTTAATTCTGTGCAAATCCTGTTGAGGCTCACAAGCCCGGGTACCTGCCTAGCTCACTCTCGCATTCTGACCACATGGAGGAAGTAGTCTGAATTGCATATGAGCTACCTTCGGGGTGTTCAAACCGCTAGGTTTTCGAATTCCATTGCACTTCATCTTGTTTCGCTTTTTTTTCTTCAAGAACAGTAACTGCTTTATTTTCATAGGTCTGCTCCTTTGATAGTTATCATCGCTACCAGTTTTGTTGCTAAGTCACCGTCACCATCGCACTTTGTTGGGAAATTTTACCGATCCTGGACGAGCTATACAACTGATTTATGCATTTATCTATCTAGTGTCATCCGAAAATACTTAAACGGTATAGCCGTGAGTATCGCTGCAACTTCCAGGAGGTAGCTCTTTCAAATGTTTGGCGAACAATGACTAGCAGCAATTCTTCCCTTGGAAGGAAGCTTAATTTCGCATACTTCCATCCTACGGAACTGTTTGAAACGCCGATCTCGGCTCTGCGAACATTTATTTCTCGTGTCTAGCGAGATATGATTTTCCAATGGGTTTCTCGGTACTGAAATGATTAGACTTCAAACGATTTCGCGAATGTACTCACATTAGCGGTCGACTCTGGAATGCCGATTTTCCAATCTACCTCATCAGAGTGCTACAAAGGAAATTGAACCTTAAATAGTGGAAATTAGCCTTCTAGCTGCGAAATGGTACAAATTTGACAGATTTTGATTTTAAGTTTGCAGTGAAAAGGCGGCAGACGCCTCACTTGCCCCTATCCCCTTTACAAGGTCACGACTTCATCAACTTGTTTTGGGTTCCATATAATTGAGAAAAAATAACTTTTTAAACTACTGCATTGCCCCAAGACTTCCCTGGCTATGTAGAGAAGGACTGAGGGGTACAAAGGCGGAGTCCTAAGTGTCCGCGTAATCAAAACGGGGAGTTAAACAAACAATCGATGTATTGCACAACCTGTCCCTCCTTTTGGGTGTCTTCCTTGATGCGCCCCTTAGTTAACCTTCTCCTTCGACCATCGCAAGGTAATCGGTGCTATGAGAAAGACAACTCAGCTAATCAATCGGGCCAGTCATTGAATTGCCACGTAAATGAGAAGGTACTTGATTACGACGTCACTGGTCCATCTTGGCCGTCCCACTCAAGCCAAAGTTTTGTCCTGTGGGAGAAATGTATTGAGGGGCGGGGAAATGTACTGGCCAACTTGCATGTACATCTCTGGCCGTAGGAACACTGGCCCTAAAGCAGAGCCATTTAATGAAGGACAGGTTTAAAATGGTTTCTTCGGCACAAGGTTTCGCGTCTCTTCCTCCTTGGCAATTCAGTCTCACTTCGGTGTTGCCCAGCTGTGTATCTATCTGGGTTCTATTTAGCTAGTAGAGAAATGGAGGAAGTATCCAGTCTTCGCTTATTCGACGTCTTTTATGCAGGAACCGTAGACAGCTCTGTAGCGAATTTTTTCAGATGGTACACAGCTAGTATCGCTTCAGTGGTTAATAGCTCTCCTGCAGTTGCCGAATGTAGACGTCATTCTCAACCATTCCGTCAGAGATCGTCACAGATTCTCCTATCCTCAGCGTATGTCCTTTTTCTATCAAGTTAAGGTTTTGCATTCAGTAGTAGAAATCAAAGTAGGCGTCCATTATGACCGGGTCTACGTTCCACTACCATCATTGTAGTGCCCAGAGTCTTCCCTGAAAATGAAAGAATCCGTAATGCTAGGGCAAAGAGTGTATTGTCGACGTACAGAGGGACTGGGGGGGGGGGCTTCTGGCCTTCTCGCCCAACAGAGGTACAATCGCTGAGCCTTAAGTGACCACTAAGCCAAAACGATAGCTTATTTCCTCAACGAAGGGTTTCAGAAGCGCCTCCAACCATTGTCTTCCCCACGAAAAAGGTTTCACTGTGGAAAAATCGTGTTCCATTCATTGAGTGACCCTTATTTGTCCGAAATTCCTAACGTTTTCACAGATTATGGAAATAATTTAAACTTTCTTATTGCTTCATTCACTTAGTTAAGCTCAAGTCACTTCGTTACGCACATTGTTTTTAAAATACTTCCGGTTGAAATGTATAAGCGGGGACAAGCATGTATGCTGAAAATTTCGTCTAATTGTTGACAGAATGACAAGATTAAAAGTTCTCCTACAACTCCGAAAAGCCTTCCAGCCAGAGGTTTAAGATGTCTCCATCGCCATGACTACTTCCGAAATACTCTCGCCCATCGCTCCCCCCTCTTGATTGGCTGAAATCAACGACTAGGTCAGGGTCAGGTCATAGTCGTCTTCAGTATCCAGTTACCAGATGCGTTCTCCCGCCTGATACCCTCTCTGCTTACTTAGAAAAGTCGACGCCTCTTGCCAATGCCTTGTTCACTGATCATCTAGCTGCAAGCTAGAGGGCTCTAACCTGACTCGCACATCCAAGTTGATGAGCCTCAACCAAGATTTGATAATCCAGTCGAATTTCCTGCACCTTATCTCTGTTTCCCAAGACTGACATCTGAATGTTGGAAGACAACCACAGGGAGAACAGTAAAATTACAGCAGCTTAGAAGCAGGATTTTTCTTTTAGATCTCCGAATTCTGGCTCATAAGTTCATTCGCAGAACTTAGAGCCGTTTTAAACCTGTCTTATTCCCAATAGACTGATGAAATCCTTCTTCAGCCTTCATATGAATTCTTTTGTTGAGTCGTAAAGGCGAATCTCGTTCCTGACCAAGCGGAGAAATCGTGGCTTTAGTTTTTATGGCATGGCTTCTTCCATTTTTTGAAAAATCATCTGAGCGCAATTCTCTACGGCTACGATTACACCGATATATACTACCGATAAAGGCTTTCCAGTTAGGGGCAAAATGAATTTGCCAGCCCCTCATCACGAGTGAACTGGTAATCAAGGCTCTCTGGGTAAAAGTGGCCATCAAAGTTTGTTTAATTTCGCACTTCACCGGAGATTAGGTATCATACAGAGTTATCTTGCACTTTCAGTTAATGTCCCAGCGCTGTGGTAGCTGTGTTGGTTTATTATCTCCAGAAATGGAAAAAGATCCCAACAGATTGCCCGAGTTTTTACCGCCTTTGTCAAAAAGCGACAGGTGAAGCAGCTAGTTAGAGCCGCTTACTTATTCTCATAAAACATGAGGATGTAGACGTCTGACTTTTCAAACGAGCCACTAGAAATGCTTAACCCCACTCTCAGACCAACACATTAATCGCGACACCATAACACAAGCTAGAATGTCGCTCTTGACTGAAATCAAAGGAGGTATTTTAGTGACCTTGACCATCTAGTGAGTAATAACCAGCTTAAGTCGGACTGAGAAAGGTCACGACATTCTAAAATGTTCAGGAACTAGCCATGAGAATGAAAACTTCTGGAGAATCAGAATAGGAACGCTGCAGGCATCACCGTTGGAGCGGCATCGAGCAGTGCAGAACAGATGAAACCCAATCGTAATTGTGTGGTCCTCAACAGGCAAACAGCGACATCTTCAGCTCCTCAAGTGGGCATACACACAGACAAGGCTTAGTCTTGTTGTGGAGCTGAAGTGAAGTATAATTTGCGAGAAGTTATTAAATAACCCATCATCTGCATAAACCAAGTGGAATGTAAATTTACAATTTAATATTTTTAACAACCTGAGAACTGCAGTTACTCTCCCTCCTGAAAGTCCGTTTGAGACTTCTACGAGAAATAACTTCTGGCAATGTCGCAAACTTCCAATTTACAACACCTTTATGTGCAAACAGATTAAGGTTGGCCCTCGGCTTCTAAACTCTCTTGCCATTAATCCTTTCATAGTGGCCAGTTTGTCACCTAATCGGGCACATTTAATAAGAGAAAACTTTATTATTTTGTTCTAGGGAAAATGTGGGCTGTTTAATCTAATAATATTCTTAGCTCTTTATTTTCCACAACACTCGCACTTCTGGAAAGAAATATCTTACGGAAAAATTGTATGCAAATCCGGATTAAATTTCCATTTTGTGTGTGAGCAAGTGATTTGCATGGCTAAGCAAGAGATTTTCTAAAAAAATAGACAGTTTATAAAGTTTTAATTTAGCTTTGGCTTTGTTTTAATGCCGCTAAAAAGAGAACGTTAAATAAATCAGAGAAATTGTCTTCTAACTCTTATTGTTTTAGCAGTGTGTAGCAAAGTAACAAATCTGGCTTAAAAAGCATTAAGTAAATTTTAAAAAATCGACAATTTAATGCTCTACATTTCATGCTAGTTAACAATTTATGCGAATGTAAGTATGTACACTTATTCTACTGGATTCCCGACAAGTAGCGTGTTCAATAAGGCCTTATTTTCACTCTTTTAAGTAGAGTGATCCCAAAATACTCCAAATACTCAGGCTTACGGCAGCTAATTATGGTGGAATATGATTGCAATGAAGCAATAAAATAGTGGAGAATGAGATGATGGGCAGCAAATGTAGGGCTTGAGCGAAAAAGACATGGTCTTCGACCAATCAGGATCTGTTTTGCGATTTCCCCTTCAAGGTTCATTTGCAGTACCAGAAAATTAGTCGCGCTCACGAAATTTCTATCCACCCATTACTATGGGTATTTTTAACTTTTCCTCCTTCTCCTTTGATGTAAGCCTTTACCAAATCTGGCGTCACAGAGATGTTTATGGCCAAGACCTAAGGCGTCACCCAATGGAGTCCTCCGGCTGGCTTCATCTTTACCCTTAAACGCTTGCTCGCCTACAGCAATTTGAGAGCGAAATTGCCCACCGACTAATGGCGGCGACACACCCTCTACAAAACTATCGTTGTTAGAAAAACTATCAAATTATCATCATAAGAAATGAATTTTCTCTAGCTTTTAAAGTTTGAAACTTTTTATTTCGAACCGTTTGCCAAAGACAGGAAGACTGCCTTATCATCTGCTTGATCTTTGCCCTCACTTCATGCCGTACTTCTAGGGTGTAGGTTTTAAGTTGGCTAAACTTTGAACCTCAGGTCCATCACTCACAGATCTCAAAATTTTCAAATAAGTAATAAAAAAAGACATTTTTATATTGCGCATTTCCCGACAAAAATATTCCTCATTTAAAGCTTAATCAACACATCAAGAAGTGACTTCCGACTTTGTGGAGATGCGAAGATAAACTGTGGCCTTTACTGTTCTCTAGCCTAGGAAGCATCATAGATGGCACAAAATTTGTTTTTCATAATTGCTGAGGAGTTGGTTAGGCTCACTCAAAATCGTCCATCAGAGGTTCATTCCCGACCACGTGCTGCCTCTGATCCCCAGTGGCCTAAAACTAATCTCTCCAGGAGTTTTACCAATTATCAAACAGGTGGCATCTGATGCAATGACCTGAGACTCAATAGCCAAGTGAACATCTCCTGGTCTTAATCGGTAGTGACAATGACTTGATGATTTAGCATACTCTTTGTCCAATCTGTATCTGACAACTATAAGGGCGTAAAAACCTATCTTTCTGCTTCGACTGTACTGGGCTAGAATGTACTCAATAGATCAAATTTAGATTTGGAAGTCCTACACGTAAAAAAGGTGGCCCACTACTCCTTGATATGCCTTAATACTTACCGCTGTACCAGAGATGTCGATGTAATTCTCAACTTGCGGTTGAAGCAGAGGTTCCACGAGAACCTGTCCAGCAGATGCTGTTTCAAGATACGGAAAGGACCATGTCCGCTGCAGGGGTACATAAAAGGCTCACTGCTTCAATGATAAATGGAGAAGAAGGATGTAGACAATTCAGTCCATAAATAGCATTGGTGAAGCGATATCGTCGATGGTTACGACACTCCAGTCCACTCAGTCACTCATGAGACATTGTACAGGAACCAGAGAAACTCGAAAAACTCGTCTCTTTGTCGGAGGCCTCAGTCCCTAGCGCAGTTTATAACATTGACAGCGGTTGATTGCGGAGCAGCACGGAGTAGCTGACCAAACTGTGGATGTCCTGTGATGACGCTGGGCCTAGTAAGTGAGCCCTAATGCCTAGACTACGAAGGCCTCCACACCGAAACAGCTACTCCGATTGAATGAAGCTCAAAGAAACCCTTAAAAATTTAAAAATTGGAGCTTTTAAAAACTTGTTTGCGTTTCGAAAGTTACAACCTGGCTTGAAACCAAACCAATCACCAATTTCCTTTCAAAACTGTTCCGCATTACCTCTTACCTCCTTAGGTCAAACTTGACTGTAACCAGGGTAGAATAGACACTTATAATAACTTGTGAGCTCTCTAGAATTTTAGTGGACCCGGGGTTTAGGGCAATGGCGGTCATTGAGCCAACGTCACCTCACACCGATGGTTAAGCAAGAGCCCCGGCAGCACAGCGCCAGCACATGCATGGAACAGCTTGAGGCCATAAAATCCCTGGCAGTAAACCTAAACCCGCGCGTTTGCTTGCATGACGAAGTCTGCACAGCAAAAGTTGTACAGTGATGGGACACTCAGTCGCTCACTCTGGATGGTGGATGGCTGTACGCTTACCAGTGATGATCACAATCCGAGGAGGTTGTAAATTCGGTACTATAGCCAGTGGTTAATGCGTGGAACACTTGATCAGGATTACTTGATGGCCAACGTGTCGAATATTTTTGTGAGACAAATCTATATATGGAACAGCAACTGGAGGCCTTCACGAATATTTGCAACCTCTCAACCCATACCGCGGACCAAGTACCAAGACACTTTCCTGCTTCTGATCAGGGCGGGAAAGATAAATGTAGCATTGAGCTAAAGAGGCAGCCCTATCAGGAAGGCAGAGGTTTCCAGATGACAAGAATTCACTTTGAAATCAAACCATCCATGAAAGCAGAGGAAGTGCGCGGTAGTCACCGTTTCAACAAAGATGACGAAGCGAAGTAGACTATTCTGGGCCGTATCAGTTGCAATGAAAGAAAAGGAAATTCTTTAAAATAGCCTTATAAATGAACCAGAAGATTGCACCAAAAACAAATTTTTATTTTTAATTTCAAAAATTTGTTCGTCAACCCGAAAGTCTCACTTTGGCTTGAACGCCTTTCGTATAAATGTTAACCTCTAAAATTCACCTACGTCTGCGTAGAACTCAAAGGTACATCTTTTATCATTACATGCAGCCAGTTTTACAATAGAATTTTAACAGATTTATATAAAACTCAGTCATGGGGTCAGTCAAGGTCAGTGGGGATACAATGGAGAAGGTGCACTTTCATCGAATATCTGTCTTGAAGGAAAAGACTGACCTTTGATTGAGACGATGAAGAGCAGATTTGAGGTTTTTGCCTCCAGCATTAGGTGCTTGTAACACGATATCTGAGGTTGCGCTGAAGGCTAAGACGCAGACCAGCCTATTAGTTTAAAAAAAATAGAGGATAGCATAAAGGTGATTGCAGACCAAAGACGCTTCTGTGTGTTACAGTTTTCAATGCCAACTTTGACTAAATCATAATCCCTCCAAAGGTCGGTGACTGCAGTCCCTCTCAAACGTGTCAAGATCGTCAGGCAGAGCTGCTGGTCTGCTAGGCTGATTTGATGTGGTAAAAAATATGCTTTATGGGGTTAATCCCTCCCAGTTGTTTCTCCTGCCTCCTCCACCTCTAGTTCAAAGTCAAGCATACTTCCAAGTCTTTTGTAGGTTGCACTACAATTTGGCTGTACCAACAACTTGCCTACGTGAGCTACTAAATCATGTGAAAACAAAAACGCGCGACTTTTTCTGCCTCCTGTTGCGTGCAGAATGCATGTGTTCGCTTACCTGCCTGATTGCCCTTCCCAGACAAATTTGGGGCGAATCGAAGTATGCATCTACCTTGTTTACATTCGCCACTCTTCATGTGTTTCATGGTGCGTGCCAAGCAAGAAGTTAAAAATTCGACTGTTCGGGATTCGCTTCCACTAATTTGTTCATCCCTTGAGGAGAAAATGATGCTTCATCTGGGAAGTAAGTTTTCGTCTTACCCCTTTTGAATGTGGCATCAGTCGAATTTGCGAGTCTGTACCATATGGACTTCAATCTGCCAACATTAAAATCCACTTTTTGATTGCAACGTTTTCTTTTTGAAGTACTTGTTTCTCATTGGATACCAAAGTGGGGGATCGAAGTCGACCGACAAATTGATTTCCCTTGTTGGATCGTTGGTACAACAGCATACTTAAAATATTTTCCCCAACGAGGCTCAAGCCAATCTACTTTTAAGTCTTTTGATGGTTAAATCAGGTCCCCTTTAAGTACTTATTTTAAATCAGGCTTCCTATTCTGTGGTAGAATGTATGTTTCGCGGTGACGAACCTTACCGTTGGAGTGCCCAACTCGCGATCACAGCAGGCATTCAGGTGAACATTCGGCTAGCAGAAAGCTTGAGTTTGGATATTTTAACAAATGGTCTGTTGTAAGGCTGCATGGAAGACAACTCCCTCCGCAGAAGTAGTGTGCGTAATTGGCAAGTCGACACGAGCCTAGTACTTCAAGCATCCCTAGGCATTCCACTTATCATATCAAAGCCTTGCCGGTATCTACCAAGTGGATAAGTAGTTCGACATGCTCGGAACAAATCCGGAAGCTCTTGAGCACCTCATATGGATTGATACAGCTCATGGCTTTCGCCTGATCTCCAACTGAAAGTAAACAACTTGTTGTACTACCACGGAAACATCAAGCCTTGAATTTCAAATTTACTTCTGGTTGGTTACCACACCTAACTGTTTCTAATTTCTTCTCCAATTATCTAATAGTTTAAATTCCTTTACCTCGGAGGCCAACTTCACCTCCTTTTAAAGTTTTTCAACCATGAAGGTGCTCAGAGCAGAGGGTGAGGTGGTGAAGGTTGGCGAAGTACTAGAAGCAGTCGTCTTATGATTCACCAGCACGAAGATTCTCTTTGATTACTTTGAATGTCAACCTTAGAAGTCCATTTGACACTAATTGAAGGAACTTAACATGGCCGATTATCTGAGGGTGAGGAACATCCGCATTCAATTATATCACAAAGATTATTTCCACTTCGTTGTCAATTGCCTACTTTATGACAGGATGCATCAAGAATTGCATCTGGACACATTTCAATCGAAAAAGTGACTACTCAGTCAGAGAGAAATTTAACAGTTATCCCAGTAACTGCATATTTCGTTGTCATGGTGCCATCGAATGATGATTGTGGGTGGAAGTTGGTGAGGTACTGGAAGCAGTCGCTATAAGATTTAAGCAGCATCGAGATTTGATGTGACTACATTTATGTCAACTTTAGGCGTCCGGTTGACACCATTTGAAGGCAATCAAAGCTGCCATGTATCTGGCGACAAAAAATTTCCTCAATGTCAATTGCCTTCTTCTTGACGGGACGCATCACTGATTGCATCCTGACATATTCTCGTCATCCTAATGCTACAAATTTCATCGTCATAATGCCATCGCATAACTTCGTTATGGCATTGCAGCCACCTCCCGAGATGACCAAATCAGTCGTCGGTGGGAGTAACGGAGGCGCAAGTGCCAACTATTTACTCGATTTCTCAAAATAGAATGTTCGGCCTTCATCTATGCATACACCGGCAAGTTGATGGATTGATGGTGGCCTTGGTTATCATGAATTTACCTTAGCTAGGCACCAAGCCACATTTCCTTGCCTTCGAATTATAGTCGATCCTAAAGGCGTAAAAAGGTATTATAGCACACAAGAATGTTTCACTTCTCCCACTCAAAAGGATTGAAATATCGTTGACATTTATGGAGGGCTATAACACCAAGATAAAATAAAAATAAGCGGAGAATTAAGAGGCCGCGTCATTAACCCAAAACCACATCAGAAATGAAGTAGCCGTAATGCCCCTCTCTGCTCTCAGGTAATTTTCCCCACCTTGGTATTAGGTTCACCACGACGTATTCGAAGTTCGCAAGCTACTGTGGAAAGTCATTTGCTGATACTTTACCGAGGAGAGGAAATATCCACCCCTACGAATAGCGATGCATCTCGGAGAACCTGATGGATCCTAACTGGCGTCTCCTCTATTTAGTGTACAGCGTCGATTAGTTGGCTGTATAGTGATTTACTGGGCGCATTTCCAGCCCTGATTCCGTAAAGTGGTCCCTGATTTTGGCAATGAATTACTTCCATTCCTAATAGATTCAGTTATCAAGTCCACCAATGCAACGAAACGCATGCTTGCCAATCACAGCGATGACTGATGCTTTTTTCCCTCCAGATTTTACGTGAACTGAGCACAAACGGACCAACAGGTACCCATTAGAGGTGAGGTTCACTTAATCAACGTCATAATGGGGCAGGGTAGTTAGTTTGGGTACTGGGGGTCAGGCTCGCTGTGGAACCATCAGCCAACAAATAGTGATGATGTGGTACAGTTGATGTATATTTGTCATGCTGAAAAAGTCATCGAACGTCGTCGGAAAGCCAGGATAGTGCGTAAGTTTACCGCGAATGGAAAAGGTAGGAGAGTTTCGTGAGGGATGAGCGCACATGATTTACATCTTCCCCTGACAGTCTAACTGAATCACCTCCGTCAAGACATGAGCGGTGGAAAAATTGGTGGAGTTATTGGTGAATCTAGCCGGAACGAATTGGTGTAACTTCTGGGGCCGTGTAAAAGTGACCCCATTGTTTATGCGCGACCTTACAAAGCGTGGATATGGGTCAGTCTATCGGCAGTGCTTTCCGCTCATCGCGGACGCTCATATCACAAAACGCGATTTGAGCCTGTCTATTATGTGAGCACAACCTCCTACGGTTCCCAGAGCGTCTGGAGATGGTGTGAAGGTAGATAACAATATCAGGAAATGGTTTTGGTAGATCTAGTGGATACTGACATGGGGCGAAAGATATGAGGACTATCTCCTTCTTTACTTCCCCCACGGATAGCAGAAATGAGACATTTTAGGCTGTCAACTGCCTGACGGCCCATTAGAAGTATCGCGTGCGCAAAACCTTAATTAATCTAACGTACAATAGGCTGGATATCCTCCATCAATCCACTCACTGTCAAATCCGCATTTTCACTTTATCCCTCGGAAGGAATTCTCTTTGTCTTCGTGTGCATGTAATCAGTGAAGGTGGCCGGAATTGTCCATTAATAATTGCTCACTCACTGAATCCAAACAATTACGGTTGCCATCATCCTACTCTGTGCAAAAGGATGCAACTCAAAGATGTGACTGAAGCTGCTCACCTGAAAACAGTCAGGTCTAGGAAATCAGTTGGAGGAAAGGCTTCGTATTGTGACAAATCATCGCATCTCTTACAGAGTACCAAATCGCCAACTTCAAGTCCTGCTGCTTAAAGGGTTTGCGCTTCACTAAGGCTAGGGGGATGACATTGACTCACCCTCGACCTTATGCGTACTCTCTGTCTTATCCTAGCGGCACTTCCCCAAGTGATGTCTGTCACGGGTGCCTGACGGTAAACAATTGTATAATCACAGGTGAGTGCCAACACGGTCGAATTCTAGAGGCAGATTGTTTAGTAAAAAAGTGGATTTCGCAGCTAGCTTGTGTCTTATTGACAGTGAGCTCATATGTTGGGATAGAGGGAACATTTTGTGGATTCTAAGTTTACTGACAATTGACAGATCATGTTTTTTGCCATTGCTAGTAAACTGCCTTTTTATAAGGTAACTGCGTATCCAACCGCAGTGATGAGTGACGTTGAGTAGCTGCTTAGAAGACTAAAAATGTGTATATTGTATCAGGTTTTAGAAAATGCAGCATTTTAAGAGCTACAGCAATGGTCTGGTGTTTCCTTGTCGCATGTCACAGTTTGAAAAGGCCACTATTAATAAGATGAGGCCCAATGCTTGCCACCATCTTCTTCGGGAATTTTTCTAAGGAAATTGGCCCTAGAAAGCTTCAGCACAAATCTTCCTTTCAATTTCTGGTGTTGTTGATGATGATGCTACAACCTATCCTTTAAAAGGGAAGCTGGCCCCTTCAATTCGTTCTTCTATGCGCAGCAAAGCAGCACCTCAATGGCTGGATTATCTAAAAATCTTCCAAACACAAGCAGGCTTTCATTCTGTATACGCTTTTTATAAAATTATTAATATTTAAAGCCTCAACAGATAGTAAGGAAGGGAAAAGACTTGCTGATTTCATTATTCCCTCTCCATAGGAATTCGCCCCCAATGAAGGTACGGCGATCCATCATTACCACTTCTCCCCCATTCACTCCAAAAAGAACTTTTAATAATTCGATAAATCCCATTGCAAAGGCAAAAAAAGTAGCCAAGGCATAAAAAAAATAAAAAAAAATCAAGCAAGGAGAGTGTTTAAGTACCGAAAACTGCTTGTTAAGAGAGGCGGTGTCACGTGTTGGACTTGGACATGCCACCCTCCCCACTCCCCCATGGATCAGTTTGTAGACCAACTTCTGCGACAGAAAAGGAATGTGCCAATTTGCAAAAGACCTCTAAATTTGGAATGGAGGTTATTTTGGTCTAGCATACAAGGGGCGACAGAAAAGGGGGGAAATCATCCGAAGGGGTGCGCAACAGACCTTCAAACCTTCGCCGAACGAGGCAGCTCTTCCTTCCCCGTTCACCTAAATGCAAAACATCTCTTTTCTATGCATGGGTGAGCGGGCATGTCTTTCTCAAAAGTCACTCCTTTCCACTTTTGTTATTTTGTGGCTAAAATAATCTTTCTGGCGTAACTAAAGTAGTTCCGTCAAATCACTTCCTCATTCGCTTCAGCGAAGCAGTTAATCACGACTGAATCCCCCGAGCCGCAAGAAAAGGAAAGTGCCCTTTAGCTCACTTCACTCGCCCAGATAGGTGGCGTGATTATTTTAGGTTCTTTGGTATTTCTTTCCACACGGAGCTCATACAGCAAAAGGAAAGGAAGCTTTCATAGTAGGAGAATGGGGGACACTTAACGAATTCAAGGAGCATTTAGACAACACTAGTAAAATTACGTGGACAACTTAAGGATGACACTCTATCAACTTAGGTAAATGAGTGCTTAGAAAACGGTTTATGTCTTGTGGATACCAGAGGTATTTCTCATCCTTCTGGAACACCTCACTAGTTGAAAGGGTCATGTGGATCTTATTGGTGGTCTTCAAAGAGCCCTAAATGGATTTCAATCACTGTAACCGTGCTTGGAGCGAATCACAAGGAAACAAATGCGGATGGTGAAACAAGGCCAAGTTGAATGGATTTTTGTTGTAAGGCGGAATGAATTGGATCTGGAATTGTGGACGTCTCTGGCAGATGCGATGAGGACAATCGGATCAAATTCCTCAGGACTACTTATTTGAAAAAAAGAAATTTCGAAGCGGGATGTCCACTCCGCCGATTTTTAATTCAAAAGCACATTTGACTTCCATCTTCTATGATTGAAGGCTGGTTTAAAGGGTTGAAATGACAGTTCTCGCTTTGAAGTTACAACTGACTGCATCCTCCTGGCTTGTGGGAACAATTAAGCCTTCCATTCTCATTCACCATGATCAATTTCTTAATCCGCTTGGCTCCTTGAAAAATGCAAAACGCAAGTAGGGATCGCATCCATCTTGATTGTACTTTCCAGACAGTCAAATGGTTTTTCAAGTTCTTGCCAGCTCCCTTGGAATGGTCTTATAAAGAAAAAATTCCGCATATCGTCAGGAGGAAAAAATCAGCTCTTGGTGAACTTGTGGAATGCAGTGCTTCAAGCGTTATATCCAAATAAGTGGATCATCCAAGGTCGGCATTGCTCTATTGACCTTGGGCGTCATTTTACAAAGATCTTCAACAGATGGGCATCTGTCAGGAGATTCAAATCTCCTGTTGAGGTGACTGGCTTTCCATTCCTCTTGATCGCGATCCTGGGCTTGATAGTAGTGCCAAATTCCCAGTGGATTTAGGATGAACAGTCCTACAAAACCCAACAGGGCGTGAAGACAGTCAAAGTGATCCCTTACTATACTACCACTTCTGCGTGGATCTGGACCACAAAAGTACAGTATAGCCGCCAGTGCAATTTCTACGCAGAAAACGTAAATGAGGAGAAGGTGGAAAAAGCCTCGGTTCTGTTGATTCCTTTTGCCGTGCACTTATTCTTCGCGTCTGCACAGAGGACGAGAGCTTGTTAATTGGTTGAAGGAGTTCCTACACTTCGATGAGGCCTACTTTGCACGTAGGGGCAGTGAAGCTGGTGGTTAAAGTGGCGACAAGGAGAGAGGTCAAATACAAATTGAAAGTCCAAGGGGACATTGAAATAACACCAAAATTTTATTGCCTCTAACGGCTTGTCTTTCCCCCAAGGTACTCATAAAAGCTATAAACCAATCGACCCTTAGATAACGGGACGAAAGGTAGGAGATTCTTTTCTAGCCTCTAACACCGTGTTTGCCTGGGCGTAGAGTTGACGGCGGGAAGTGAAAGTGAGATGGAGGTAAAGACGGCTAGGTAGGATTTTTCCCCACTTTTGGATAAAAGAGAGCTTCTTATGAACTGATCTTTTCAGCAGGTTTGTGGGTGGATGGAAAAGGACTGTTGATTACGCGCCGCAATGTTTATTATTTGAGGGAAACTTCCGTCTCTACTTGGAGGTGACTTGGTTACCCTTGTCTTCCCAGGTAGTAAGCTACACCACCTCCAGTACTGCCAATTATTGTGTCTCAGAGGCCAGCACTCATTCATGTTTAATGGATCCTGTCCACTGCACATCAGGGCTCTATGTTCCTTCGGCCTCCTCTTCATACTGTCCATAGTAAAGAGCAGACAAGTACGATGAAACTGAGTAAGCCTTGGCAGCAATCGGAGTCAATTTTGAAGTCATCTGGTTGCAGGATCATCGAAGTTGCTTAGTTTTGGGTTCCACATCGGGAGCGCGCATTCCACTTATTGCAATCTAACCTGCATTTCGCCCAAGTTTTGATTGCTAATGCAGAGGGTGGCAAGACGTCCGTCTACACTGGTATAATCACGCGTTCCCTGTGTCTGCATCAAAGTAAGGCGGGGTTTGGTTACCTTTTTCCAGTCCGTCATTCTTTCACCAGGTGTAATCAGCCGAATGTAGATGCAATCTGTTGAATACCAGATTCTGTGAATAAATGAATAAATCCAAAGTGGGCGTACATAACTACTTCCCTACAGCTGCACACTTCACTCCAGTTCTGGTGCTTGGGAATGGAAAAGGAAGACAACTCTCGTCAGATGGGAACCTCTTCCCATGCTTTTGCAATTACTGTACCCTCACTTGGTCTGTTGTTCACTCCTGGTTTAGTGCAGTCGCAGCTTCCGACAATTTTGAGGTGGAAATTCGGGTCTCTAATGTCAACTATCCACCTAACAGCGTACCCAGGTCCAAAATCATGTGCACAGACTAGCAGAAGCATTGGCAGATTACTAACAAAATAGATAAATGCTACTTTCATGCTCTAATTTCAAGACGTTTTCAACTGTTGGCTGTCAGTTCACGCTAACCATCGGGTTGATGTCGATGCAGGAGAACTGCTTTATTGTCACGCTTGGTAAGCCCTACCGAAGGTGATTGCAGAAGGCAACGTCTTCAAAAAAGACTTTTTGTTAGTAAAAGTGATAAAATGACGAACTTAGACTTGCCTCCACCCCTCACTTCGATTAGACGGTGATCCAGGGGATGGCCAGAAGCTGGCCCTAGTAATGGACACAGCGACACTGGAAACGGACACAGAGGTCTGTCATGACGGTGGTAAATATCTAAGTAGCTCAACTGCCCAATGAAGCAATCCTTGACTAATGAAGTAAACTGCTTCAACACAGTTAGGCCCTTCCATATCCCAATTGAAAGAGCACCTACGACGCTTACATCTAGAGGCACATTTCCCGTCTTCAAAATTCAAAGTCACAATCTTGTGTCCATTTCTGTCACCACTTCAAGGTGGGGAATTGGGCTAATTTTCCGTCTTTTAACTTTCACTGGAAGATGCACCCTCGTGACGTTGTTTAGTTCCCTTGAATTCGGGCATGTGATGGATGGCTGCTTGGAGCACACACGCCAGTCACCTTGAAGTTCATCAAGCGGACATGCCTTTTTCTCAACCCGACTAAAACCATTCATTAATACAAATGTAAAAACCTTGTTTCCCTTTCCGCACTTTCTCGCAACGTTTCCATGGCAGGTTGTTTGTGCCTTCTTATCAGGGAGTTAGCAATCCAATTTGAAATTGTTTGCACGCGTTGCAATGGCAACTTGTACGCCGGATACGCAAAATTCAGGCACATCCTAATCTTTCGCAATTTTTTCTCCCTGATACTTTTAAAAATCCACTGACATTATGTGAAGTCATGTCCATCAAATCGCCTAAAATGCAAATCGTTGTGACGCTACTGTAATACTTATGTTGTTTTAATGTGCCTTTCAGGGAGGAGGCAATCAGGGAATTCGAACCTTGTAACCGGATCGTCCTCTCCCTTACCTAGTGACTGCGGCTCCCCTCCTTCTTGAATATTGTATTTTCCCTATCCATCTTGTCACCTTTAATAAAAATGTCCAAAGCAAATCAACCGGGCTTGTCTAGGAACGCTAGGAATCGGGAAGCGGAGACCGAGGAGCCTCGCCCCACACTACCGTCAATGTCGTCACAATCATTGTGAGGAGGAAAGAAAGGAAGACTAGTAGAATTTGCAGAAATTTTTTTACTACAAAAATACCATCTCCGAGAGTATGAATTCCACGTAATCTGATTCATTCATTTTCCAAAATTTAAATGGTTTTCTCCATTTCTATGAAATTATAAACTTTTATGGTATTGAAGGGCAGCATTAGCATTCCTTGTCATGATTTGATCCGCTGAATTCGAGTAGGTCATAATGGCACTCTAAGGAGGTAGACCAACTTTTTCAATGTCACCAAATTTTTGGCGTAAAACTAAAGGAACTACTGCGGTGCCTCTAGTCCTCCTCGATATTTAAGAAAGTTATAACATAAGAGTCGAATTTGTAGTGCCAACTTATAGGAATGAGAAAACGAGTGATTGAAGGAGATTTGATGTGCTCGCATAGCCTAGTAGCCAATAGGATCACCTAAAAGAACTCACAAGAAGGAGACAAATGTTTAACAAAAAACGTGTTTAAACAAAGCAACCTATTAGTCAGGAGAGGAAGTGTCACATTTCTGCCGTAGTCACCCCACACTCCCACTATCTGAAAGCTGTTTCTTGACTGACATCCAAACCGCAAAAGGAGTTTGGCCAGCCAATTGCAAACGGAATCGGACTTTGGAATGTCGGCTGATTTTGATCTTGTCTAAAATTGAGTCAATAAGCGGGCAACGGAATTATTGGCAGAACGAGGAAAACGATCAGAGAGGAAAGCGACAGCTTGACGTACCTACCCTGAGTTGTAGAAGCATGACCTGACATTCACTGATGTCAAACCCTCGCCCAAAAACGAGAACAATTCTTCCCCTCCCGTCTTTTCCATGCACAAGTAAGCGGATTCGGCTTTTTGGAGGAGCTATTTTCTTTCTGGAATTTGATGTAAATTTCCTTTGTGCAGCAGATAAAGTAATTGCATCATTTCATTTCCTCCGGCAGAAAAATATCTTTTCCCCAACGAATACCCTTAGAAGCGAAATAAACGAAGTGCCCTTCCCACCCACATGGCGTGGTAGTTCACGCTCTTGGCATGTTTTTTTCGCAGCCACCATGCAGCTAAAGGAGATGAAACTTCTAACGCGGAATAGACAATACCGCTAGGATTCAAGGAGGGTGTTGCCAACACCAGACAATCTAAGTGGATTATCTGGGGACAGTGTTGCCTCATTTAACCTCGAATGTCAATTTTGACAGGTAAGTGGCTAAAAGTTGCTTCAAGTCTTGTGGATACCCATAGTATTCTTCCACCTCCTCAACTGCTTCATTGGGCAATGTCATGTAAATCATAGTGGTGTTTTCTAGGCTAGGTCAGCCACCAGGCAGTGCATAGGACCACTTCAAAGAGCTCAAGGATGATTTCAATCCCTGCAACTATTCAGTGGGCTAACCAAGAAACAAAAGTCGATGGCAGAAAAATTTCTTTATTGCAAAGAGTAAGGTGGCTTTGAAGGGAAATTTAAGCAGCAACAAAAGACTCGAAAATGCTTGGTCTTAATCAGAACTAGACAAAGAGATGAAGGTTTTTGGATGTAATTTCAATCTGGAGGGGACATCTTTGGTTCTGTACCTCCATTTTTATTCTGTTGTCCCTCTATTTGCTAGCTGTCCCCATCTACACGGATGGTTTGGTCTACTCAGTGTGAAGAGAACTCCGAGCTATTGAATGAACTATCCCGATCGGATTTTTTTTGCAGCAGAAGATTGCCTTCATTTAAGTTTAACAAGTCCTGCCTATTGCTGGGTGCGGCCCCCGCCCCATGCTGCCTGACAAGGTGCGAACATGGAAACGATGTAATTTAGCAATCGTTGGCAGTAGTTGGAGACAATTTTGCAGTCAACTGGTTAAAGCATCACCGAATTTGTTCAATTACTTGTTTCACTTCAGTTTTTGCGTTGCGAGTGCACATTCCAGTCAAGAGAGTTGCTATACCGTGACTGTAATCAGTCGTGATCGCAGAAACATTCCCTGCTACTAATAATGACAACAACAACAACGACAAAAACTCCATTTAATTATTTAAATGGAGGAGAATAAGTCTCCAAGCGCAGTCTAGTTTACATTACGCCCAGGCGCTGACTGTCGATGGAGGGAATAATTCGCCGACGACGAGGCAAAACGCATCGGTGTCAAGGCGTAAGTTAATCGGCTGGCGATCAAAAGATGGTAAAACTTACTAATTACTCGGATAATGTGGACAAAAAGGAGACGCTCGACATCCCCAGCAAAAGGTAATTGTGGCCTGCACTCAACACAGGACGCACTTAATTTCCACCGAACCTACGCCACTTGCAGCAGTAACAACTTCAAAAAGCTACACCGACAGAGATCGCACTACTACCTCTGGCCACTGACCACAGGGCTCCCAGGAATTAAGGTGGGCATTGACATCATGAGTCCTCCACTACCCAGAGAGAGAGAGAGGAGACCGACGCATTCAAGTTGTGGTAGATAAATTCAAGTAAGTTATCGAGACAGAAGTTCACGAAGATAAGTTGCTGAAACGGTTGCCCTTGGTGTCTTCAGCTGCTGGATTTGTCAGCGCATTTTGCCCGATTCAATGCATAGCGATCAAGGTCCTCATTTCGAAGGTCGGCTCTTTACTGGACTACATGCAAGACGAAATTTGGGATTGTGTTGACGTTTCGCGGCTTTTTTGTTGCTTCCGCAAAAATGTGACTCGAAATTTAAACGTATGGAAGGCAAATGAAAGATTTGTGCATTTCATAGCAACTTGGTCATCCAAAATACTGACTGAGGTGAGGAGTTTTCGGTACCCGAAATGCGTGAGGAAATGTTGTGCCATTCAACCACATTCCTATAAAAATTCTGTCAGCCAACTCATTCATACAAGCCTACGCGACTAGTCACGATGTTGCAAACTTGAGATTCTTTCTAAAAGAAAAAAGAAGGCGCACACGTATTGCTAACCCACAGAAAGGCCACTGACGTAGTCAGAAGGCCAGTTGTCTAAATTGCCAGCCAAAACCACAAACCGAGATGTAAAGGTACAATCACAGTGCTGCAGTTCGTCATCTTTCCGCAGTTAAGAGCCCATACCTTAGATCCACAATAAAAAACAGGAGGTAACACAGTCCACCAGGCAATCCATCATTCTGTGCACGTGAATTCCCAAAGTACTAAATGGGAGGAATACATTGTGTCTCTTCAGCAAATCCGTTGCTTGACTTAGCACTTTCGCATACCGTGGACGCTTTTTAAGAACCGGGAGTAAAGGCATTGAGGGAGGGCAAGTGAAACGCTCCCCTCAATGTGGTAGTCGTTCACCTTTTCGAAACACTTTGGAAGGAGAGGCTGCAGGCCATTGACAAAGGGTGATAGAGGGTGGGGAAGTATGGTAAAATTTATGGCCTGTCCAATGGATAAACCACGGTTGACAATAAATCGTA